TATATATATATACATACATATATATATATACTATAAATTTTTGGTACGGACAATAAATATTGAAATACACATAATAGTAACTCTAGTGGAAATATTTCGCTAAAAAAATCGCTGAAATCTCTATCAATTGACTCATTTCATTCTGAATTTCATTATGAATACTGAAATGAGTATTGATAAAGATTTCATCGATTTATAACCATCAGGGAACATTAACGTTTAAAAACAATATATAATCTATTATCTGTTTAATCTAAATTCTTATAAAAATGAGTATTAAGATAACGATATTATTTGAATCAAATAATAAAAAATTAGTAAAATACTATAGGTAAGTTTAATATAGAGAAAAGCTTGCTCTATATACAAACTAGTTAGTAGAGAGTTTCAAGTTAGAATATTTATTTCACATTTAGTATTAAATTAATTATCAGCTAATGTAATTTTAAAATTTAATAACTTACTTTAGCATTATAATAAGAAATAACGAAAAAATAACGAATCGTTACTTTTCAAGTAATGGTAACGGTAACGCGTTATTTTTTAAATTGGTAATAAGTAACGATAACGAGTTATTCTTTTCAAAAAAGTAAAAATAACGCGTTATTTTTTTCAGATAATGCGCACAACCGGTGCTCGTTATTCGTTAAAAAGTTACTAAGAAAGAAAATTTGAAATTTGAATTTTTTCATTATATAGAACAAAAATGTTCTACTTTAAAATATATTTTACGATTGATCATGCGAAGCGAGCTCCCCCTCCTGCTTAGAAGCGCACGACTTCCACACGAAGCGACCCCACCTCCTCCCCTGCTTAGAGACACACGACTTTCCATATGAAGCGAGTTCCACATCTCGCCAAGTTGCTTCGCGTGAAAAATAAAAATCGTGCGCTCCTACGAAGGGGAGGGGGGTGCGATGGGAATCGCTTCGTATGGAAGTAAAGTGAATATATGTAATACTATTAGGTGTACAACTTTGCTTCCGCTGTTTTCCTATAGATGGCTTTAGCGATAAGTGATGGTCGAAATAGATCATAGACGACATACAATAAACTTGGGCATCTGTCAACATAACCCCATAGAAACATTAATCAATTTGTGTCTGCATCATAAAGTTATTCTCGATTGAAAATGTCAGTTTACGAGCCAAATTCTCGTCTTTTGCGGGAGGTTTTAATTTTTTGCTTCAATATGAAGAAATCTGCGGCTGAGGCTCATCGAATGCTCTCAAATACTTATGGTGAGGCCGCTATTAGTGAAAGACGTGAGAGGTTTCAACGCTTCAAGAACGATGATTTTGACGTCCAAGGTCATGCTTTGTATTTGGTAGGGCCAGCTCGGCGTAGTGTATTATGAACTGTTAAAACCGATTGAAACAATCACAGGCGATCGGTATCGAACGCAATTGATGCGTTTGAGCCGAGCATTGAAAGACAAACGGTCGCAATACAACGAGAGACATGATAAAATGATTTTGCAGCATGACAAGGCTCGACCCCATGTTGCGAAAGTGATCAAGACATACTTGGAAACGTTGAAATGGGAAGTCCTACCCCACCCGCCGTATTCTCTAGACGTTGCTCCCTCTGACTATCACTTGTTTCGATCAATGGCACACGGCCTGGCTGACCAGCACTTCCGGTCTTATGAAAAAGTAAAAAATTGGATCGATTCGTGGATAGCCTCAAAAGATGACCAGTTTTTTCGATGCGGGGTTCGTACGCTATCCGAAAGATGAGAGAAAGTAGTGGCCAGCGATGGACAATACTTTGAATCATAAATGTATAACCAGTTTTTTACAATAAAGCCTCGAATTTTGGAAAAATTCGGCGGAAGCAAAGTTGTACACCTAATACTATATTGCTAATGTCAATTAAAAGCGAAAACATCACTGTGCAGACGATATCTATTTCTTACTTAGTGTATCCATTTCAGTACGCATGCGTGCACCAATTCTAACCAATTCTAACCAATTTTATCACGTATCTGCACTGGTTCTCGTCCGCATGTATTTGTTACATATTATATATATGCGTGTCCATATTGTTGTTTATATAAAAGCGTTTAAAAAAATAAATAAAAATGCGACTTTTGTTCGTAATCATAGTCAAGCTTTATATTTAAGATTTTTAAAAATTTTAAATTAAAATTTTAATTTAAAATTTTAAATTATAAAGCTTGACTTTCTAAAATTTATCTTCAGATACTCTATGAATTATTTCATTAGTTACTGAGCATCTAAAGATAAATTTAAGGAAATTTTAAGTACAAGGTTGGATTATGGCCGCTGTTCGATTCACGCTCACAGCGCTTAAAAATCATTTTATCCTTGTTGTTTGTCAAATGTTAAGCGAAAACAAATGATGTTCATTGCATTGTCAGCATGAATCTGACCACAGCCTACGAATACGGGCATAAGTTACTTATGCCAATGCATGCGCACATTCGATACATTGTGGAAGTTATCCGATATTCTCTATCTCGTTGTCTTCGCAGCTCCCCCCCCTTCCACTTTCAAAAAGAGGCTGCATTAGCAATATAGGAGTATTACATATATAGATGAGAATCGCTTCGCTTGGAAGTCGTGCGCCCCTGAAGCAGGGGAGAGGAGGAGATAGAGTAAAAGTCACTTTGCGTGAAAAGTCATTAGATAAGCAAGGAAGGATATAAAATAGTTTTTAATATTATATATATTTTTAATATTAATTTTAATATTAATTTCATTTAATATTATATTTAATATTATATTTTTAATATTATATTTAATATTAACAAAAAATAAAATGTTATTTTTCAACCTGTTTTTATTAATAACTTTTTAATTAATAACGAACGATGTTATTAGCTAAAACTGTTGGAAGTCATTCAGGGTCATGACCTTGGCAACACATGTCAAGGTTATTGGAGGAGGGTCACCTAATCTGGAGTATTACCAAAATTATTATTTATATAAAGTTACTAAAAAATTAAATAACATACGAATATGAATAACAATAAATGAAATAATCTTTGAAAAATATTTATTAAAAAGGGTTTTAAAAAAAAATTAAGAAGGATTAAATGATAAGAACAATAAGAATCTTATTGGACCGTACATATGAAAATAGAACCAATAGGAAATAGGAAAGGCCCATAACGGTCAAAGTTGGATCTTTAATGCTTAAATAATTTAATGTTAATTGTATATACTATATATGTATATACTATACATGCATATATATCATATTTGTAGTCATTTTAATTGCGCGCCGAATTAATTTTTACAGACTTAAAGTTAATTCAAGTAGTTCAAATGAATAAATATGGTATACACAGTCTGTCCCAAAAGTTAGGATTCTGGAATGCATTCACAAAAATTATACTAGTGGCCCGATTTCTACAAAACTCTGTGCACTAATACTAGCATGCCCCTTGAACGCGTATGCGAAGTTTCAAATCTGTACGTACTGGCAGTTTGCGAGATGTGCGCATAAAGAATGCAAATGTCGTGCGGTAATTAATTTGAAAATGAATAATACAGTAGAATAATGAACAGCCATTTAAATTTTGTTTCAAAGCGGATTTGTTCGTAAAAAATGCGTTTACAATGTTATAGAAAGCGTACAAAGAATCGTGTTTGAAGAAAACTATTTAATGGTTGCGTGTTCAAAATACAAAAAAACATAAAGTTAAAAGTTAATATATTATTATTGTCTTGAATAATAAATTTATTATCCTAATTTGATTATTACGATCATGTTATAATGAAAATAATGACAAAAATAAAATAAAAATACTTCCTTGTTGTAACTAAGAATGTTTTTTCTTTCTATATTATTAATGATATTATTATTTTTAGAATTGCCTGAAACCAGTTTTACGAGAAGCATCTCGAATCCAGAAGCGGTGATGAGACGACGTCGTCAACAGAAGCTTGAAAGAAGACTCCAACAATTTCGTAGTAAGGACGGTGGTCCTGACACAGGCGGCACATTGAAAATTTATGGTGAGGCGTTGTGCAAAGACGTGCCATACAAAACGCTGCTATTGAGTGTGCGAGATTCCGCCGCTCAGGTTGTACGAGAAATGCTTTCTAAATATGGTCTGGAAAAAGTGGACCCACAGTTATATTGCCTTGTGCAGGTATATACGAAATTTATCCATGCATAAAATATTATTATATATGGTGATAAATTTAGTAGATTTTAGAAATTGATTTCTTCAATTAATTTCAATTTAATCTAAAAGGTGGCGCAATTCAAAATATATTAATCGATGCTATAAATGAAACTTAATTGTTTAAATATTTTATATTGAATAATACTATAAATAAAATATAAAATTTTATTTTAAAAAGATACCTCAATTTGTTAAATAGTATAATCTAAAAAATGGAGATTTTAATAATAATAATAATAATAATAATAATAATAATAATAATATATTTTACTTAATGTAGATTAACAAAGCATAATCAACAAGAACGATTCTCGTCGAACATAGAACATGAAACATAGAAATTGAAAGAATAAGATAAAGAATATAGAAAAAGTTATGTTAGCTGTATGAATACTAAATATATAGCAGACGAATATCTTAAATTAATAGTATGTTTTATACAATATGATATGTTTTTATAGCATTTAATTAGCTTCTTTATTTCTGGAAATTATATATAAATACACAAACATCAAATATTTTTTGTTAAAAGCGCATATTGTAAATTAAATCTTGTTTATGATGTAGGTTAATAGTGAGAACGTGAGTGGCAATGTGCATCAGGAATATATATTGGACGACGATGAGTGTCCTTTGGCGATATTAATGAATCATCCTTCCACACGAGGTAAGAATTTATTTTTATATCAATACTTAGCTGCGTAATTGCTACATAATTCTAATTTTGCGTGTACATAATATTCCATTGAACGAAAATGAAAAAGAAGAAAGTGAATATGATTCGAACAATTTTGTTACTTAAAGTGTTTAATATAACGCAAATATTTTTTACTTATCTCCCAGGATATTATACTTGCAATTAATCTTTGTACATTTGAAAATATACTGAGTTTTTCATCTTTCAATATATCTTTTATTAAAGAGATTTATGGCCGTATTCATAGTCAGACCTTGTATTTAAGACTTCCTTAAATTTATCTTTAAATGCTCAATAGCCAATAAATAATTCGAAGAATATTTGAAGATAAATTTAAGGAAGCCTTAAATATAAGGCCTAATTATGCATATGGGCATTAAAATATCAAATTCTAACATTACAATTGTAAAATATATCAGTAATTCAACAAGCTGTTCTTATTTTTAAGTTTAAATCTTTTGAAATAATAATAAAAATGATATAATTTTAATTCTTTAGCGAGAGAAATAATTTTTGCATGCTTCATTTTTAAGTTAATTTGCATAAACTTTGGATACAATATCTCAATTTTTAAATTTTAATAAAAGAATATATTAAAAATGAATTGATATTTGGTTAGATAACGAATAAATTGTTTGTAGGCAAGTAAAAATTTTGCTACGTATGTATAACATGAGAATAATAAACTGAACACAGAGTTTTTTGTGAATTATTTAAATTATATTTATTAACTTAAAATGTCTATGATGGAAAAAAATGGTAAAAAAAGGTAAAAATTAACGGGCACGGAGGAGGAAAAAATTCTTGAAATGGAGATGATAGGATAAAATAGGAGAATTAATCTAATGAAAAAAGATTAACATCAGAATTTACGAGATAAGAACAAAAGTTTAATGAGAAAGAAAGCTAGAAGGAATGAAGTTAAATTAAAAAAAAAATAAAAATTAAATTTATAATTGTGTAAAAAAAATAAAAAGCTTTTAATATCAGCTGATAAAGGCGAAAGTTCAACGAGAGGAGCGACAGAAGAGAGAGAGAGAGAGAGAGAGAGAGAGAGAGAGAGAGAGAGAGAGAGAGAGAAGGAACCGAAGGATAGAGGGTAGTCGATGGGAGATATAAGGGTGGCAAGGAAAACAACCGATACCAACATTGCCAGTTGGCTCATGTCGTCAGTGCTGGCGCCAGTGCGCGGGCGCCGTCGTCGCCGCCTTGTCGTCTTTGCCCTCGTTTCGATATCGTCATTCACGGAGAAATAATTGCCCATAATGTCCGACAGTCAAAATTTGTGCAACGAATCGAGCAAGCGTTAATCTTATCTGAGTTGAAATTATAATTATTCCAGCATATGTTGCGTAAAATATGTCAAGATTTAGTGTCTCGTTGCTTTCTTTATATAATAATCCGTACATTAATTAGTTGCTTAATTATTTTGTTTGTTTAAAAAATATTTATATATTGAATCTGGAATTCTTCAATCGTTATCGAGCTTGTGATGAAAATGTACTCGCCCACATGTTCGGTGATCCGTTGTAGCCTCGACCGAATAAATAAATGTGTTATTCTTTGCGATAACATGTATAAATACGACAGCATATTAATAACTACACACCGTTGATTTATCTTATGGAAACGCAGCAGAGGATTCGGAGTGACATAATTGAATCTACTCACTGTAACATCCCTCTATATAATTGAACGAAAAAGTGAATAGTTATAATTGTACGCACATAATGCAACGTGCACTGGTCCAAGGTGTGGCACCTTCGAACACGATTCGTTCATTATCAACGTACGTATTAAAGACTTCATAGTAGCGAAAGTGGAACCTCCCACTTACACGATTGCGATAATGCGCCGTAATATGTGCGAAGGAATAAATAACGATTATACACGCGAACGTTACTGACCAGCGTTATCGAATTCCTCAACATATCAAAGAAAAGTGAATTGATGAAAGTAAATCCATTTAGATCGCATAGTCTAGTCATTCTGCGCAATTTTGTGAAAGATCAAGTGATCATCAAATCTCAAGTACGACCTATTAATTAAGCCATTAGTAATCCAACGTAATTGAATCTTATTGACATGAAATATTCGTAACAAATACGATATTCGATAAGTCTCATAATTCACATAAAGGAATGGTTATTGATTACGTACATAATTTAGAAATGGGCAATAATACGAAAGAATTCTATTGACTTATCATTACCGAGACATAATACAAAAATTGCATAGATCACGCAAAATCTTGATGAAGTGTGCAGGTGTCTCCTTGACTAATAACATTTGAATGCAAGTCTCAAAGTCTCGATCTAATCAGAGACGAATCATTATTCGACTAATCATTATTCTGGCAAATAATAATAGTTATTATGGCTATTATATAATACCTCTGAAAGACACTGAATCAACGATGATTTTATCTGATCATTATAATTATCGTATGATCATTACAGATTATTCTAATGCGTTATTACATAAATTAACATGTGAGCTATTTTCGTCTTTTAAATCAACATTAAATATCAGATTATGAATAACGAAGAAGTCGATTTGACAATACTGTCAATTGCTTAATCGACGTACTCTATTGACCATCAATGCTCGTCGATGACATTTCGAATGAACTTTTTATCGTCAATACGTCTATCTTATGAATCTGTAGTTATGACCCGTAAATATCCTGTGATCTATTTGGAAACCACGGTCAATGCCATGGAGTTATTGAGAACTGGAAGCAACATTTTAATTAATGCGATCATTAGCGGCCATCACAGTAACACGTTTACTTGACTTTCATTATTCAATTGTATCTAAATAAACATATTAATATCTTTCTCAAGGATATCGTAATGTCGATTATCTGTAATATTAATATTGAGATTCAATTAAGAATACGATCAGCTAAGCAGATTTATAATTTCTTCTATTGAATTATTATTAAAAATAAGAAATATACGAACGACCTCTTGATTTTATCCATAGTCTAAGTTTAGACAATGTCGCTAGTATGTAAATCAAATATCGAGCATAATAGAAATAGATTGAGGATAAATTCAAGTCAATTCATTTTAAATTCGTCATCATTGTAGCGAGAATAAATGCCGAAGAGGATTTGATTATACGTTTTAACGTCCGTCGATAATTATAATTGATAAGATTCGCCTGATCAGCTTGAGGCGCCAGCGGATTCTCATGAAGAAAACGGAACAACGAAAGAAGGGAACAAAGAAGGGACCAATATTTTAGCAGCAGCAATAATCGACGAAGGGACCACGAAATTTAATTAAATAAGGCGATCGTTATGATGGATTGGGGAATACGACGTAAGCTTCTGTTAAAGCTGATGAAATTGAATGCATGACGCATATAGAGTTCAAGTTTCTTCTTGATGTGATTCTATGTTAATTTGTTGAAATAGCCATTGTTAATTTGTTAAAATATAAACGTTCTTATATTGTAAAGTAGCTATGCTGAAAACTTGAACTTATTTAATGACAATGTGCATATTTTTTCCTAGTTTTATTTTATTTTTGTAAAATATATTTTCTTCGATCATGTCCGTCTGCTTTTTATTGAAGAA